TTTTAAGTCTTTGAGGGTTCAATACAGCATTTAGCAATGTTTGTGTTAATTAAATCCTAATAAATAAGAAAATAATAAAAAGAAATTAGTATATAAATACACAAAATGATTTTAGTTTAATAATGTTTATTTTATAATTATAATCTCAAAAAAGAGTGAATAAAAAAGTATTTTATAGTAGGAAGTAGAAAACTGTTAGGCGATTAGGTGAGCCGAGCCTCAAAGGGCGCCTTATTGCCTAGGCACCCGCCTAGGCGTCGCCTTGACAACTATGTACGGGAGTATCGTATCAAAATTTTGATCCTTGCCAAAACCTCAAATCTAGTCTTTTTGTTTCCCCCTTATTACGGTCCTCATATTGAAAACCTCTTATTGGCTTTAACTCCATCCCTTTTCTAGTTCCATAAATACTTTCTTGTAAAATGTTCACCACCTAATAAGGACAAGCCCAATTTCTTACCCACTTGGACATCTCTTTCCACCATTTTCTAAATTTCATCTTCTTATCTTTCTAACTTGGTCAAAAACAAAATTATCCTCATCCTTTTGGGTCTCTAAACCTTCTTGAGTATTTTCCACTAAATTCTCTCCTACTAATTTCTCCTCTTCTTCTGAGTTCTCTGTGTTTGTGTTTGACTTGGATCTTAATTCTTGAAAATGATTTCCCATTTCTCATCAAAGAAATTGTTCACACAAACCAATCAAGTATTGACCCAATCAAAGTTTCCTTCTGCACAGAATCACCCTTTTTCTAACAAACCCTTTGAACTGGTTCCTACCCCCAACAAGTTGCTCTTGCATAAACTATTTGTCACATTTAAACTATTTGTGGCCCTATCTTGATCTATATTTATCTTCTCTGAGATCAACTTGACTGATGAATGGCTAACCTTACTATTTCTCTCTTATGTGCCTTTTTAAACATTTTGCATCAACCTGGGCTGTATAACCCATTCTTCAGGCTTGATAAAAAAACCCACTCTTTAGGCGAGAAAAAAAATTATGTAACATAAACCAATCTATGGTTTTTGGCACTTCTAATATGTCTCTCATACCACTGCCCGTCTCCATTGACTTTGCAACTTTCCCAAAGTACAAATGGAAATTCTTTAATAATCTGCTCCCAATCTGCCAACTTTAATTTCAGCAAAATCTAATTCTTGAATTTCCTAAATAATCTGCTTGTGATGATTTCACTTAGATCTGGATTCTTCTCAACAAAACATTCCAACCTTTTGTTTTGTGCATGCACACAGTCAAACTGGAAAGAACCACCCTCTTGACTGTTTAACAGTTAAGTTATTTTCAACTGAATACATTTATCTCCTTGGAGTATCTATTGAAACCCCATCTATGCACATCACCCTCTTCTGAACATTCCTTACCTGCAATGACTGAAGCCTTTCTTGCAAGTTCGTCCAGAGTCCAGACCTCCAACTTCCTCTTCAGGTTATTCTTAATATCTGTTTAGTCCATGGGCCATGCTCAACCAAAACAGAAACCATAATCAGATGATCAACTGATGTCACCCTTGACAACTCATCATGCTTGCCATTAGTTGGCCTACCCCCCTTGAAACATTGGCCTCCAACAAGTCAATAGAGGTGTCACTTTTGTCTTTGTCTTCATCACAATTTAGGTATTTAGGAGGGGATCCTTGATCATTCCTGAAGGCATCAGCTTGAAAACCTGTTAATATATACTACCTAAATAAAACTTAGTAAATACTCTTATGGGAATTGTACTCCTCAAAAATACAACCTTCAATACCAGATTACTAGTAAAGCATCTTGTTACGCATTCTTTTATCCTAGTGTCAAAGTTATGTGTATGTGTATATGTCTTTGTTAAACAGCTCATCTTAATAGGAATTATAAAAAAACAGCTCATCTTAATAGGGAAATGGGAAAAATTGATTGGAGACTACCTTGTAGAAATTTGCATTTCTGTAAGATGATGATGGCTTGATCATGTTCACAAATTAATCTCCTTCATTGATCAAGAGTGCCCAAAAGTTTGATCCTTGATTTTTCTAATTCTTTTTCGTAGGAAAATTTCTTAGTATTTCTTTGTCAGATGGTTGTGGCTGTGTCGAGTGTCCAATGTTTCGGATGGGTCTCATGCGGATCGTAATGCTGATAAGGAATGCATTGATCTTTACCTTTCAAAAAAATGTATTTCTTGTCATAAATTTCCTTTTGTTTAATTTGTCTTCCCATACCATGCTGTGTTTTTTTTTTTTTAATTCTGCTGCACTGTCTGACCTAACTTATCAGTACCAGAATTAGCTATCTATTCTTGGATGATGTACCATACTTCATTCCACTTTGATTTTCTATTTATAATATGTAGTTTTGGCTCCAATTGTTGTCATTTTTGTGTTGAAGGATTGACCACATTTCACCACCCTGTATTTATTTTCGCATTGTTCTCTGTTCTTGTTTTTCCTTGTTCTAGCTAATATTATGATGTTGAATTTTGTTTTAGTTCAAAACTAAAGGTGGATCTCAACTAAAGGAATATTGTTCTGCTTTAACAAAGGAAGATTGCCGACGTCAATCTGGTTCTTATATTGCATGTGAGAAGGTTAGTGAGGACAAATGTCTGATGTGATTGTTTTTACCTATGATAGCTCTTGGTGTTCCATTCTATAATTTGCATTAGTTTACTTGTCACGTTAATGCCATTATTTTTCCTAATACTATACAAAGTTCTTGTTTTCCATATATGGGAAATTTGTGCATATCATGGTACAATACTTCTTTTTAAGATGTTATGGAGCTCAGATTGCTTGCACTTGGGGGTTCTAGTCGGGTACTTGATTTTAAAATTTTACACTGCCTTAGGAGTTGGACCCAGGTTTTCATGCCAGGCCCATTCAAATTTTGACAAAACCCCAACTCAAGCCCATCCAAGTTGCATTCCATAGCCTAATGCTATGGAATATAGGACACCATGCATTGGTTTGGACTGTCAAAGAGCAAAGCAATCATATTCCCACTTATTATTCTTGTTCTGTTTGATGAGTTTCATTATGCATATGCTGTGCTTTTTCTGTTGTAGCAATAATTTGGAAAATATCGTCCTGGGTATTGATTCACTGTTTTGGTGGTTATCTTTATGGGTCATGGACTCATGGTTCAAGATGGATTACTTCATGTTTCAGGTTCATTTTAGGCGTATAATTGCTCTACACACTGAGATCAGTTTGGGAGATTGCTCTTTTTTGGATACATGCCGTCACATGAAGGTAATTTCTTTTTTACTTTTTGCTCTTGCTTATGATTTTGTTAACTAGGATTATTAGTAATTCATGTTTCCATTGGACAGACATGCAAGTATGTTCATTATGAGCTTGACCCAACTCCAGATGTGCCAGCCATGATGATGGGAGCTGCAGCTCTTCCTCCCCCTAAACCAATAAAGCCTCAACGTGCTGAATATTGTTCGGAGGTTGAGCTTGGTGAACCACAATGGATTAATTGTGATATTCGCACATTTAGAATGGACATTTTAGGGCAGTTTGGAGTTATCATGGCAGATCCACCTTGGGACATTCATATGGAGTTGCCTTATGGAACAATGGCAGATGATGAGATGCGCAGTCTCAATGTTCCTGCACTGCAAACAGATGGTCTGATTTTTCTGTGGGTCACTGGGCGTGCAATGGAACTTGGACGTGAGTGGTACGTGCCTCTCTTTGACTGTTTGCAAATTAGCATATTTGTAATTTTTTTTTCTTATTGCTGAGTGGAATCAATATCTCTACCTAAATTGTTAAAAATTTATGCAACCAATGAATGAAATAGACCATTCTTTTGGTTTTTTCAAGAAAGAAAAATTAAAGAGCATTCTTTAATTAGTATCTCCTCAGGAGATTGATGATTAATAGGCCTGTGATGTTCAATACAAAATTAGATCCTTTAGTGGGGTGCATGTGTGGGGAAATATGGAACCATAAACAAACAGGAAGAGTCTGCACAAATAAATCCCTTCTTCAGTTATTGTCAGAACAGATGATTTAATGAAAGTGATTTAAAACAGACCTGGCAAAAAGCTAACCCAACCTGCGAACCCGACCCAACCCAAAAGTGTTAGGGTCTCATATTTTAGCAACATGAATCCGGGAATGACCCAACCTGGAAAACGGGTGGGATTGGCTTGGGTCATGGGTCAACCCAATGACCCAATTATCAAGTTTAATCGGGACTATTTATGTATTGTTAGAAGTTTCTACTCTTTAATCTTTACAATTTAGTCTTTACTCTTTATTGTTTACTCTTTGAATTGTTAATTGTTCAGTTTTTTATTTTATTTTTGGAATTTTAAGGGTAATTCCTTTAATTTTGGCATTTTTTTTCATGTATTTTTTTTTTATTTTTTTTAAATTTCAGCTATTTTTTGGGATGACCCGAATTGACCCATGGTCAACCCTAACCCAAACATTTAGGGTTAGGGTCCAGCATTTGGTGACCTAACCCGAAATGCAACCTGAAGTATCTTGACCCAACCCGAACCCAATCCACCCAACTCAATCAGGTCTAGTTTAAAATCCAGTCTGGAGGTTGAACTGCTTTTTCCCTCTGGGTCAAGAGTTCAGCAGTTCAAGTGTACAAGGTCAACTTCCATGTGATGGGAAATGGAACCATAAATAAACAGAAAGAGTCTGCACATATAAATCCCTCTTCAGCTATTGTTAGAATAGATGATTTAATGACTGTTTTAAAACCCAGTCTGGAGGTTCAGCCTATGGGTGTTCAGTTTGGAAGGCAATACAGAAACTCTTTTCTCAGTTTATGAAGGGTATAAAGTATGAATTGGCAATGGGGAGAGAGTATCTTTTTGGAAGGATTACTGGTGTGGGAATGGTCCACTAGGGGTTCTATTCCCAGACCTGTTCGAGATTGCTACTAATAAGGATGCATCAGTGGCGGATTACCTAGCTTTGCATTTGGAACCCCCAAATCCGTAATTCATGGCGGAACCTAAATGATTGGAAGGTGACTTCCTTGGTCAGTTTGCTCCAGGGTCTTTATGACTCAGGTATAGCTGGAGTAGGGGAAGACAAAAGAAAATGGTTATTTGAGAAATCAGGGACATTCTCCATAAATTCTGTTTACAACAACTTGTTAGGGGAGGACACTGATATGTCCCGGAGATTTCACACACAATTCTCAGACACACGGCAAAAATTACACAACTCAAATGAAAAGAAACTGGTATTCATTCAGAGGAACGCATTAACAGTTGGTCGGTTCTTCGAGAGACCGCCGGCTCTCCCAAACACTCAAAATGCTCTTCACTCCAAAAAAAACATGCCCTTTCCCCATCCCCCAAAGACCCTTCTTATACCCTTCTGACAGCACAATTGACTCCCTCTATAAATGCCCAAAACTCTTCTTATTCAAAACTGACATAGCTATAAATGCCCCAAGACTCTTCTTATTCCCTTCTGACTTCCTCTATAAATGCCCAGCTGGCAAGCCCCATGTGTTTAATCATTTCCCCCCTTAACCGATTGTTGACCTGGCTTACGCTGCCCTTTCCTTCTCTAAGCATACGTAAGGTTAATTGGGGGCCTATCAGACACTTCATCCTTCCCAAGCAACAGGATTTGGGTAAGATATGTTCCTTCCAAACTGGCTTTTTTTGTTTGGTCTGCTGCTGGATAAGATCCTAACTAAGGACAATTTAGTTAGGAGAGGTATGGAGGCGACAGATAAGGCTTGCGCTCTTTGCAACGGTTGTGTAGAATCTTCCAGTTATTTGTTACTTCATTGCAAATTCACTTATTGGATTTGGATAAGATTACAAGAATGATGAATTTGTTTGGGATTCATATGTGCTTCCCGGTTGATGTGAAGGGATTCATTGGATCTTGGTACGTAGGCAGGTTAAGGAGGGCTGGAAAATTAGCTTGGAACATCCTCCCTTCAGCAGTTTTTTGGGCAGTGTGGACTGAAAGAAACAGCAGAATTTTTGAAGACAGACAAAGTTCAAAAGAAGAGGTGTTTAAAAGGATTTCAGGAATGATACAGTCATGGTTGGCAAACCACCCATTGTTCAAAAATAGACAAACATGTTCTTTTTTTTTATCAGGATTGCCCTTTTGTTAGGAGTTCATAATTTTGGTGGGGCTGATTGTTGGGTATACTGCTTTATTTCCTTTTGTACAGTTTCTCCTTGTACAGGGGTCGGCATAGTTGTATGATTTTAAAGAATATTAATGAAATATTTTACCTTGCGGTTTCAAAAAAAAAAAAAAAGAACCCAGTCTGGAGCTTGAACTGCTTTTGCCCTCTGGGTAAACAATTCAGCAGTTCAATTGTACAGGCCAATGGGTCAACCCATGATGTTATCCACATGTGTGTGAGTAAAGGCAACCCTTCAACAGGTAAGATGTCAATGGTTCAGCCGTTTGGGTCAATGGGTCATTGACCAAGTGAATGGTTTTTTGTAACATGTGGGTTAGAGGTTGAACCAAACTGGGATTGTAACTGGATCACTGGTCCAACAGGTTGGGTCAATGACAGGTGGAAAACACTACTGGTCCAACAAGTTGTTCAGCCTATGGGTGTTCAGTCTGCACATATAAATCCTTGTATTTTTATACCCTATATCTCTGCCCTCTTTTTCTTTGTGGTTTTCTCTACAAAATGACAACTTTTCCCTCTTCTTTTTCTCTATTTCAGATCTAAATTGTTCACACATATGATCTTAGATATTCAGTGGCCACCATATTTGGTTTGGAGGGCACTTCATCACTGTCCTATATCACTTATTTGTTCACTGATTGGTTGTGAGAAGCATCATTAAAAGAGCAAAGCAACAGTACATTGTCCAGCTTTCTTAGAGAGAGTGATAGTTGACCAAAACCTCAAATGTGGGCCTGTTTGGGAGGGCTTCAGCTTTGATTGAGCTGTTTTCACTGGACTGGTTTAAGAAGCTACTAAAACCAGCTTCACTGGAAAGTCAATTTCTTGGCTGAAAAAAAACTATTGAAGTGTCACCAAACATAGCTTCTAGGATTTCCATGTGGGACCCACCTTTCAGAGGCAGAAGCCACTGTGTGAAAGCCCTCCCAGATGAGCACCATAATGGGACAAGGCAAAAAATAGGAAGGTAAGCATGCCTCAAAAGAATTACCCTGGAAGAGAGGACCCACAATTCAATTCTAATATCTGACACCGTCTTGCTAAAATACTTCCTTGCTATTTTTCTTATGTTATTTTTCTCCCAAATGATAAAGAAGGTAATTGAACAAGGGGTTGTTCACATGGAGGAATTTGTGACCTAAAAAAATCCCTGAGGTGTGTTTGGGTTAGTGGGGGCACAATGTGAAAAAAAGAAAAAGAAAGCTGGGCATATAGGGGCTTGAACTTGTAGGTTTGCATACAAGTAGCTATGTTAGGGTTTTCCTACATTTAGTGTGCCAACTTGCCAATTTATATTGTTTTATACATGTATTTATTGGATGGAACTTGATTGGGAAACATGAACTTTCTCCAAAATATTATATCCACCATCCTTATTTGGAGTATAAATAGGATATGTGCAATGTTTTAAAATGCGGAGGTGTGACGTGAGGTGTTCCATTACTTGGAGGGATGAGGTGTAGATCAGAACGTAAGAGGCATACGCCTTCTGAACATAAGGAGGCGTAAACCTCCTTAAGAGGAGGGATGAGGAGGAAGAAGTGGAAGGAGGATTTCATTTTTCCTTCTCTTCCCTTCCCTTCCCTTCCCTTCCCTTGCCTTTTTCTTTTTTTTTTTCCTTTTTTTTTTCTTTCTTTTTCTTGCCCTTCCCTTCCCTTCCCTTTTTCTTTTTCTTTTTGTCTTTTTATATGCGGTGTGTGTGAGGCGTACGCCTCTTGCACCTGAGACGTATTCCTTAGAGGTGTCAACACCTCTGGCATACACCTCAGGCTGTTCTGGGGGCGCCTCACCTGGAGGTGCGCTTCCAGGCATATGCGTCCCATGCCTTTTAAAATACTGGATATATGTAATGGATCAACACCTAATGTGTATGCCTTAGAGGTGTCAATGCCTCTGGCATATGCCTCCGCATTTTTCGGGCACTGTGCTTCCAGGCATATGCCTCCCACACCTTCTAACACATTGATTGACATTCTCCCTCCTTTCGATTCATACCAAAACCAAGGAGTTCTGTTTAATTGATGTAAAATTCTACTGATGTCCGTTGGTGTTTAAATGGGTGCATCCTCTACCAAGTCAAAAAAAGCATAGGTTTGATGGTGTAAGCCATCCCCTTTTGTTTGTATGCGTTTTAACCAATATGCATCCTTAAACTCAGGTTGGTTCAGGTGTCCGTCAGGCCCCGGCCTGAGGTCAGGTTGTCCTTGGATTGATTTAGGATTTTACAACCTAAGCTTAGCATAAGATATTAAACTGCCAGCCTGAACAGTTCTTAAGGACAGACCGACAGAGCCAGTTAAAAACTGTTATGGAGGATAGATACTGGGCAGTCAAATTCAGGTAATCAGATTGAGCCTGGTCCAAGCTACAACATATCTTGATCCAATATTTCATATTTCCCTACCTAAGGATAGACCAAAGTTTAAAATACCAGTGTCAATGGATTTTGGTCATCCAAATATAGGAAACATATTCGAAATGTTGTATGGAAATATTGCCAAAATTATAAACATGATAGGAATATTGTGAAATATGTGACAATATAGAAATAATATTTTATGAAATGATAGAAGTAGCATTTGTACCCTTTCAAATTATTGTTGTATGAAATGTTGTACCCTTTTGAATTATTATCTTGTTTGAAATTATCAAAGCTAAGAAACTAAGGTTAATGGACAAAATAATATGCTATAAAGTTGTCTTGTAAATTATCTATCAAAAAAAAGTTGTTTTGTAAACATTAAGAGTCAAAACTACATGATAGAGTGGGTTCAAACAAAATTTAACTCATAGAAAGTGCAAATGATTCTAATAATCAACCAAATAATCTATTAAACAAATAAAAACTAAGATTTAACTTTATATTTGAAAAGAATTTTGAGCTGGCTCAAAGTGGTAATCATGCCCATTTGGCAGACAATAGTACTGCTACTCCACATATCTAGTTATCTGCAATATTGTTGCCAACTTATTTTATGATACCGTCTCGTACTCCACATAGCACCAGCAGTTTTTATCATGGTTTTAAAATACAACCCAGAAACAGAACAGTTCTGGCACTGGTTTCCGGGTTGACGGTTCGACTGCCTGGGTCAATGGGTCGTTGACTGATTCAACGGTTTTTAGCCAGGGACCAGGTCAACGGTCTGTCTGGGTCAATGGCGGTTCTGAAACCATGGTTTTCATTAGGCAGTATGTGAATTCCAGTAATATTTTGTGTCAGTACACATGGAAATGGAAATATTAGGAAATATAAGGACATTTTAAACCAAGGACAAATTGGGTTCTAATTAAGGTTCAAAATATCGATATGCCTGATACACCGGTAGAAGCGTATCAGTAGTTTTTTTTAGTTTTTTTTTATCAAATCCGGTTCAGAGGGGGCAGTTTAAGGTCCATCCACCCCCTGAACTGGTCAAAACCCCAATACACCCTCTGTACGGGCGTATCGGGAAGCTCCTGAATGCTGTATTTGGTCAGTTGGTTCTTATTGAGGTTGCCATGGGAAGATATTTGGCCCCAGATTCATAACTGTTCTGTTTAATATAGTCCAATGGTTGCTTTAAATTGATCTCTGAATTGTCTTCAATGTTGAAGCTTAGTATTTGTTCATTGCTTGTAGAAATTGTTTAATATTTGTTCAAAAATTAAGAAAAATGTCTGTTTTATTTTAAATGATAATTCTTAATTGTTAATTCCATTCAGTTCTGGTTGTACACTCGATTTAAACTCATGCATTTTGATATGCTTTTATCAGCTTAGAACTTTGGGGATACAAGCGTGTTGAGGAGCTCATTTGGGTGAAGACCAATCAGCTTCAGAGAATTATCAGAACAGGGCGCACAGGCCATTGGCTCAATCACAGTAAGGAACATTGTCTTGTTGGGTTAAAGGGAAATCCAGAAGTGAACAGGAATATTGATACAGATGTTATTGTTGCTGAGGTTCGAGAGACCAGCCGCAAACCAGATGAGGTAATATGAATAGGTTCTTTGTTCTCTTCTCATTCCATACCTTCTTATTATTTAGTAGTCTTCTCACTTCTATCTCTGCGTTCTATCACATGGTAACACACTGATTATTATATTACTGACTATCAACTTTTGCAATTGTTTTTTAATCAAAGTACTATTGATATTGTAAAGAGTCTTGGACCCTAGACTTATTACATGTAAACTTAAGTGTTGCACATGCCATTTTGCAGATGTACCCTATGCTGGAGAGGATAAGCCCAAGGACAAGAAAGTTGGAATTGTTTGCGCGGATGCACAACACCCATGCCGGGTATGCTAACATATTTTGCTTTTTAATTTGAGATTTCCGAATTTTGACATTATAATCTATTGATTAAGGTAATTTGGAGACTTGGAGTAAGAAAAAAATTTATGTTTTCATCAGGATAGATGCCCTGATTTTGAGTGACACTTCTGTCTATGGTGGAACCAGATTTGGAGATCTAAGATGCCCAAAATCCATCTGACAGAATAATCTTGAGGCTGTGTTTGCTTTTTAAAACAAAATGGCTGCATTAGTTGAAGATTACGTTGAAGGCTAGTTTAGTGGTTGCAATGTTTGAAAACAGAATACATATCAAATAGAAGTGTATAAAAAAGCAAACTAGGCATCTTCAGTATTGATTATTGATAAAAAAATCTCCAGTATTGATTGTTTTGGATGATCAGAAGGCATGGGCTATGAACTAAAGAAGATTCATAATTTGGATAAATAGATCATTAAATAGCTTTTGTGGTCAAGGAGACCACTCATATGGTACTGATTAGTTAAAATGGTGAAGCTATAGTTGAGGATTAATTGAAATCTATTCTCATTCATCTTGGCGTGAATATATTTAACACTAAAACAGAGTTGGCCTGCTAGCAGAACAGGTTTTAACCAAGACAGATTAGTGGAGACACCTTAGATCAAAATTATGATAGTTACAACAAGAGAAATAAAATAGATCATAACTTTTAGCCTCATTCTCAATCCAGTTCACTGGTGTTACTGTTCCAGTTCATATGTTCAATTCATTCAGATAGGTATGCCGTTCAATGTTCATTAGAGTTTGACAAAAAGTATTAGTGCCAGCTGCCTACCTGGTGCACCCCCTTCTGGTTCCTTTATCCGGGCTTGGGTCTGGCAGCATAAAGATGGTTTTAATCTTTTTTTTGGTATCTTTTGTCACCATTTCTGTAGGGTGCATTGTTGTATTTGAGTACTTGTAACTATTACTCCAATGGTTTTCGTTAGTGTTGTTATTATGTAATTCTATCCTATTTAATTCAATCAGGCATTGAGGCGTATTCTTATTGTCAGGTGGATCTCTCTTGGTAATCAATTGCATGGAGTACGATTAGTTGATGAAGGGCTGCGAGCAAGGTTTAAAGCTGCTTACCCAGATGTGGAAGTGCAACCCCCTTCTCCTCCCAGGATGTCTGCCTTGGAAACAGATTCTAATGCTGCTCAAATGAGGAGTCCATTCGGAGGAATGGACTCAAAACTGATGACGGCTCAATTTGCAGAAACCACCGGCCCAGGGCCCTATGTTTCTGAAGAGAAAATGCCCACAGACGTTGAGATGGGAAGTTAATGTATCATCAATGTCTGTCATTAATGACAATACTCGTGTTTCATAAAGGGATGATGATACGATCACTTTGGATGCAGAGAATGTTGCACCACCTCCACCTGGATCCAGTGTCACGACTCATTGCCACCATTTCCGTATAACCAAAAACTTTTTACCAACACATGCATGGATGTTTCTCACCAACGGGTGATATATGCTCCCTCGAGACGTAGAGAATACTGCATCACCTGGTTCCTTGCATCAGAAGTCATGCTATTGTGGTCGAGCTCACTGTATCATGACCCATTTTTTGTATTTATAATATCAATAGTTTTGTCACCTGATTCCAGTTGTTAATTTTGTTGTTTTCCTAGCTTATTCAAATATCCAATAGAGCAGTGTGTTATATGCCTGTTTGTCAGGCCATTTCTGTAGCAGAAATGAGATGATTTTGAGGACATAATACCTTAACAGCTGTCCATCCAGTGAATTGCACCAACTGAGCAGACATGGTTCCAGGAGGTCCTGGATCTTGTTTTTTTGCAGTTTTCATATAATTTAATCAATGATCTAATGCCGATACTTGCTGTATCTTAATGTCTTGCACTTACTACTCAATTAGTATATGGGTATGGATTCCAGAGAGTAGACAATTTTCTATATTAACAGCATACAATACGTTTGTGATTCATGCCCATATGGATGTCGTGAAGAAAGTCGAGAGCACTTTTTTGGTACTGTATTGTGTAAAGAATAATGCGGCATGAGCTACATAGAAACGAAACGATTATGTTGGTTCTGGTTATGTGGTTTTTGGGTGAGGACTGGTTGTTGCTGTTTCAAACTGATAGACCCGAGCTGATTATATATAGTTAATAATGTATGAAAGCCTCTTGGTTTTCTTCTAAATTTTGTTATATTTCATATAAAAAATCATAGGTATTATATAAGATAATTCGCTATTTTACGAATTCAAGTATAAAGTTGCTATTGATCTAAAGCATAATTGGGTCTAATTGGACCGGACCTGATTGTCCCGATTGATAATTGGGACAGTTGTGGTTCTATCATGGGTACTGATTAATAATCAGCTTTGGACAGGTAGACATCACCCATTGACAGATCTAACAAAAGATATATAGGCAAGTTTTATACACAATATGGTGAAAATTGTTTACCAGAATTTTTATAGTTCTCTCCCAAACCCAATGTAAGATAAGACGTTAGTCGGATGATGTATATAGATTTGTATTATTCACCCCTATTCTTTTTTGTTCTTCACACTTTTCGATAGTTCTCTAATCTCTAATTCTCTTTCCTGTAGGGGAAGAATGGTTCAAAAGCATAACCTAATCATACTTGGGGTGGCAATTTTTCCAATCCCTGCATTGGTGAAGATGATTATCCCCCTGCAAGACGATAGGGAAATTTTCACTCCAAGGGATCCCCATTTAGTAGAATTACTAAAATACCTTTGATATATTATTTTCAAATCCTTAATACTTATGAGTAGATATGTTTATTTCTTATTTCCTCGTGGTCCAATTGGTGATTATATTTGTTACTGGGGATTTATGTTGAGTATTTGCATTTTTATTATGAATTTGTGTCAATATTTTTAGAAATATGACTGAATAAGCTTAAATATATTTAGATCTATTTTGATAAAAACTGTAAGTCGTAACCATTTTATTTTTAACTTTTGGGAATGAAGTAAAAATATGAATTTGACATCATAAAAAATGATGGCGAGTGGGGATCCCCGTTGGTGGAAACAGGGATAGGGACAGAATGGGGTCACAAGGATGGGGATGCCCTGCCCCGTTGCCATTCCTAACCTCACCGGAGTTACACCAGAGTTATGGATGGTTCAAGGAAAAAATGCTGATTTTCATTTCAAGAACAAAGCCCACCATTCTAGATTTTTTTTTTCAACACCGTATTAAATGCCACCTTAATCTAATAACCTCAGCCACCCCAATGATGTATTAAAATTTTATCTACCACCACAATCCTTGTGGTGGGAACAAATATTGAGAACTATAGAAAAAAAATAAAAAATCAGTTCATACGAAAGGTTGGGACTGGAGAACAAACCTGGGTTTTCAACTTTCAAGTGCGTGGATACCAAGTGGAATCCCTCATGGCAGAAGTGAATAAGTGATATAGATGGGAGCCATGGAAGAATGAAAGTAAGCCAGCTTTTGCAAGGCTAGAGATAATGGGATGTGAATAGAGATAAAACCCTATTTGAAGGAGCTGAAAAAGATTGCATCTTGGCCATCCTTCCTAGTCGAATGGACGGCAAAGAAAGTTTCTATGGAAAAATACTATCGATGGATCTAACATTGTGAAATCAGTTTACGGAACTCTGATGCAAAATGAATAAGTGGATGGGAGAAACCCCCTCTGGCTTTCAATTTGAAAATCAAAATTATGCTTCAGCCTACAAGTATTCATGTAAAAGCTATGTGACAAAGGTTTACCCACCAAGGAAGAGCTCTTTAGAAGACATACGAGGAGTGTGTAATACAGGTGACCATGTGTCCATTTGTTAGAACTATTTAGGTGCAAGTAGATATTGGTTTTAACCTTTATATATATATATATATATATTAATTCAAAAGGAAAGAGATCTTTCAATCCAATTCATCATTAATTACCACAGAGATCTTTTAATCTAAGGCATTAAACATCACTGAACCCTCATCAGCTCCATGATTGCCACCAACATATGACACCACGACCTAGCTCATCACTCACTTCACCCTGACCTTCTCTGCCATCATTTCTATTTGCACCTTTTCTAGTTTCTACCACAACCAATCTTATTTACCACCATTTTCATCACCCCACTATTAGCATTTTATTTTTATTTTCATTCATCACTTATACCTATCAAATCCTAATACTTCTCTCCAATATTACCATACTTTCATTTCGCAAGTCTTCACTCCAAAAATCATAAAAATGGTCTATGAGCAATTTGATAATTTCTCATCCATGTTGACAATCCACATTCTTGTCACATTTGATGTTATATGCAAGTATAGATATAGAGTTAGTAGTAGTTTTTATTTTTATTTATTTTTGGGTAAAGTAATTAGAATAGTAGTTAAATGTAAAATGTGGTGTAACTGTGTAAGAGAGTCATTCCTTGTAGTTGCAACCGGTGTTAGAGAAAAATGGAAGTGAGAAAGAAAAACAAGGTACCATCTCATAGACTCCCAGAAAGAACATCTTATTATTCCCTTAGAACTAGAGCTTTTGAAAGAATAATGAGAATTGAAATCCCTTACAAACAGACAACCTAAGGAAGTTTTCAGCACTTCCGTTGATAATATACAGTACTAGAAAAAGAATACGGTCGGAAAGAGAAACAAAAAGGAGATATACCATTCTCATTTTTTTCTCATCTTCAGAGTAATAAGAACTCAGATTGCACAATCAGATCTGGGTATCCTTGATTGACTTGACTCTCAAGTATTTCCCCTCTCTACATGCCGCCACAGATTAATGCAATCGCCAATCCGACGCCAGCTGCAATGGAGGCAGAAAAGCTTTGCAATGGCAATGCCGCAGAAGAAGCTGCTGGGATAGATCCAAAGACTGTAGGATAAGCAGGAGAGGTTGCAGGCAATGCACTTGTGTCGTAACTGGGAGGCAATGCAGATCCATTTGCGAAAAGCACGGAAATTTCGAGCTTCTGCAATTTCTCGCAGTGCCCGGGTACTCCACTGGTGAAGTACAGTTTACCCGGAGAAGTTATATTAAATAGCGAGTTTCCATCGTTCATGTACAAGATGGGATCTTTGAGATTGCAGGTATTGAAGGCTTCCTCTGTTACTTGAATCACAGAATCTTGACTAGGTGGGTAGAGGAACCCTGCAGGGAGAAATGAGATAGAAGTCATGGATGATGAGATGGGACGAGAAAGTGAAAATAGAGATTGGGAAAGGAAATAGAAAAAAGAAGTTGCAGAGAGAAAAACTTACAGAGAGAGTCTCCAGCTCTAAACTGATGTTTGTTGGACCAGTTGGTGTAGACATGACGATTTGCTGAAGTGGGTACTCCCCAAGCATCCAAGTCTCCCACCTTGTATCGGTAGCAAGTGACTTGGGTTTGCAGCAACAAAAGCAACTGAAATGCACAGAAAAGTTGGCATCTTGTACTCCTAAAATTAGCCATCTCTCTCGCTAGTCTTGTCTTCAGATTTATGAGAAAGGAAGGAAATTTTATTGCTTTCGATCCCCAAGAGAGATGAAATTTTATTGGAGCCAGAAGCACAGAAAGACGTCTCAGATTTGGATCGATTGCTAGTTCTGTTGCAGCTAATAAGGGCTTCGTCACCCGTGCTAACCTTAAGCCTTGAAGGGGCGCTTTTCTGCAATCAGATTCGAATTTGCTTTACAGTAAAAAACACATAATCTAATGGTTCAAAGGGCGCCCCCTTACGGGCGAGGGATCTCTTCTCAGCTCATCAGCGACCTTTTTCTTATTGTACGCGCGGCAAATGCAAAAAGTGATCTGATCTCTGTGTATTAGCCACGTCATCCATACGCGGTTCCAGATGGCTAAAAGGACCGATGTATATACAGATGATCCACAGAAGACAGCTTGCGAAATTTGTTGTTTGTAGAGGGTTGCAGGGAGGACTGGATTGTTTCTCTCTCCAACTGCACATGGGAGAGTTGGACAGGGCCCATGGGGATGCACATGCCACATGGGTGTCAAAGATGGGAGATCGGATCTGCTCCTCACAGAGGGCGCCTCACACGCATGTATCGAAAACATCTTTCGTAATTATAAATTATTATTTACGAGAGATGTTCCAAATGCACGATAAATGTGTATGTGCGACGCGCAAGTGTGAGGAGCAAATCCCGTCATCAAAGGTGGATACATAATTGGTGCTGCTGAACAACTCATTTGACGGAGGAAAAAAATTCATTTTAATGCATGTGACTCTGTCTCCTTTCCTGCTATGGGCCTATGGGCTGTTTCTCTTTCTCACACTCCGTGCCTGTTTGAGATTGAGAGGCCTTTCACGTTTCTGCTTTTGACTTTTGACTTTGCTGGGTGGGATGTGGGACCATCTTAGTAGATTAGACTAAGCAATTCAAGCAAAATTTTAGCACTCTCAGACCCCATTTGGGAGGGCTTAGCTGTTTTTAGTACTTTTTACCGAGCCTTGAAGAAGTAATTAAAAATAGTTTTTTCAGAAAGTCATTTTTCCGATAAAGATGAACGGATAAGTCAGTGGATGATATGGAATCGCAAAAATCCCTTAATGTGGCCACCACAATAATGGGGTATACGGAAAATAATTGATCCTCTTATCACAGATTACATGGCTGTATTTAGAAGGATGTAAATTAAGAATCGATGTAAAATTTATATCGATTCGGTTTTGTAGGCATTTAGAAGGAGCATATAATTATGATCAACATAAAACTTTATTCCGGTTCAGTTTTACATACGTTTGGATTGAGTGAAGTTTTATATTATGAATGGATGTAAAACCTCATCAAGTATAAAGTCTTACATCAATTTTTTAAAAAAATTTACTCTCTTCCACCCATCATATTTTTAAAAAAAATGACGATCATTTTTATAGTTCAGTGTAAATCTTTATTGATGTATTTACACTGATTCCAAACGCAGCCTAAATAACTAATTGCCCAAATTGACACTGTAGTATTTGTAAAAATCCGAACAATGTTTCCCCCCCCAAAAAAAAAATCACTTGCGTGAAAAGTCCTCCCAAATGGGCACTCAAAACGGGGCCTTAGTCGTGATGGCTACAATTTGGGGCTTAGTCGTGATGGCAATGTTTCCGACATCAGCCACATCTTCCAATCGAAAATCATTGTATTAAACATCTTTTCATTTCAATTTGGGGCTTCCGAAAAATAGGCAATTATCCAATGGTTGCACTAATTAGTAATTTTCCCTCCGTGTCGAAGGGTCTATGGTTCAACCATATGCGTCAATGGATCAATCTGTGATTTCATCACTATAAAAAGTTTGAAGAAACTAAGGCTGCATTTGACAATCCTCATTTTAAGGATTAATCTTCTTTTTGCTGTTTTTAGTTTCTACATAATTGTAGCTTTGTAAGTTTTCATATTTTGCTGTGTACAATTTGGTCTGCCATCATTTTCTCATCTTTTCCAACTTTCTCTTATTTTCCAATATTTGAAATGATATCTGTAAGTAGTTTTTTTTTGGTATTCGGTGCTATGCATCATTAATTACTTTCTCCTTATCTCTTTTTCTTCAAAGTGCTAGTTATGAGATTTGATTCCGTATAAACACTGGAACAAATCAGATAACACACGAACGAATTAACCCTCTCTTAGTTGATATCTTTAAGTAATTGTGTTGATCACTTGACATCTTTCCCAAAAATGAAGGCACGAGATCAAATCCACATACTACAGGCTCTTAGTGATAAGGTAAGCGGACCTCACGTGCACCCTGTTCTGCTCCCACCCCTGATCGAGAATGCCAAAAATAAATAAAGTAATAAAGAAATGATATTTGTAACACAAGAAATATCTAATATCACATGATTAGTTATAGCACTTGTACTGATGCATGAAACAAGAATTTGGATGGAGGATTATGAGGGAGAATAGTCAAATACACATTTAATGTTTAATTGATGGATACCAGGTTAAACATTCTTGGGAGTTAATTTCATTTCAACAATCAATAGCCCAATAGCACTTCTCCAGACTCCCTTAGATGAATTCAAGTAGTTGGATCCTTTTTGCAGTAGTTGTCATGTTGTCTCTTGAGTTTGGCAAGTAGGCTAGCAGGTGAAGATGGGATTTTCTTCCAAGTCTGACATTGATGGATGCTTGGTTTTTTATTACTTGGTTTATATGTTTCTCAGTTCCTTCATTATTTAAGAATATAGTAGATAATTGATTGACTAAAACTATCTAACATAGTTATCAAAGGAGAAAAGATAATATTTGGGCCGAGGTCAGCCAGAACTAGTCTTTAAGATCAAGATTCAGGTGTATTTCATTTTAGCTTTTATATATCCAGGCCCAGCCTGTCCAAATCTAGGGCCACCACTGTTTTCTTCTGCTGCTGCCCGCTGCATTGAAGTGAGTGGCACTCCTGATCACCAGTTACTCCTCCCAACAGACCAACATATCCAGGAGATTGCATCTCAAGAGAATCCTCTTAGACAAAACCCTCAAGTTCAATCCAGAAGGTATGTTCAAATGTCCCAATGGTGTTTGCGAACTTGGTAATAGAGGAGGGCAGTCTTGGCAAATCAGGGTTGGGACACTGTTAATACCCATGACAAGCATGGCCTTAAAAGGTGCATCCCTATTTGAGGTTTTCAGTTTGTTCAGAGACATGATAGTTTCTGGCTGTAGGTTTTGGTGCCATTGCTGCTGTGTTCTCTGAAGCAGTTGCACAACATCCGACCAGCCCAACATTAGGCTCAGATAGAGGTATAAAGTGGGCCATGCCGGGCCACTGGCCTGGGCCATGGGCCAGGTTAGGTTGTGCATTGGGCCAAATTTATTTATTTAAAAAAATTCATACAAAACTTAAAATTTTAATTTTATATGAATTTTGTGTATAATATACAATAATTAAATAAATTAGTATAATAAAATTAAAAAAATATTTATTTTATTAATATATTATATATTATATAATTATAATATATATAATATTATATAACTATATATAAAATATATATATACCCAGCACAGCCCGCATGGCAGAACGACCCGATTTACACCTCTAAGCTCAAATAAAGAGTGTAATCTTGATGGTTTTCAGAATCTTCCTCTTCTTCATGTAAACACGATTAATAGAGTATTTGCTCTATGTGAATTATTATGTTTACAATATCAACACCCTTTTTCAATTCTTATATATTATATATTATTAGCTTCTCCTAAAATAAAATCTGTTTTGATTTTTTTTATTCTTTGAACTTGGTCTATATAGTTGTTATTGGTTGAGACTCATTCGAATGGAGGCTAATCCCAGAGAGATTTGTGGGGAATTCCTGTTCATTATAGTAAACCCAACAGTTTATATATAAAACCCAAAGTAATGAAAAGAGGAGTTCAAATCTGCCCCTTACAAAGTGCACCCCAAAAACGTCTCACAGCACATTCCATTTGTATAGGGAATCTCTTCCAACAATAAGTATGAGAGATGTTCCCAATGCACACTGAGATGTGCATGTGGGGCGTTTTTGGGGCGCATTTTGTGGGTAGCAGATGTAAACTCTAAAGAGAGCACTTGAGCCATTAAGATGGTACAACTCTCTTAGCATATGACCCTCTTTTGTTCTCTCTACCTTATAATTATTATTAGCAATTTTTAGTTGTGGTAAAATATTGCTCCCATTTGGGCTGTTGAAGAAGTTCAAGCCCTAGGTCCAAACAAAGAACATGTTCCTGAGAACAAAGGGTTAGGGATGCAAATGGATCGGATCGGATCGGATCCGAATATGGATATATTCAAATCCAATCCAACATTGTTCATGTCAGATCCGATCCAAAGATCTGATAGGACTCGATCTAAATTCGAATCCTATCAGATATGATTTGATTTGACTTATTTTCTTTAAAAAATAATAAATTATTAAAAGAAAAAAATAAATATAGCAATTTAAATAAAGAAAAAACAAAAATTACAAGTATTTTTAATTATTTTTATCATATATATACATGTTTTTATAAAAAATAAATAAATAACACATACACACACATAACACATCAGATCAAATCTTCTCAGATTGGCTAGGGGGTGATCTGAAATGGATCTGATCCATTTGCATCCCTACAAAGAGTAGATGTTTGTTGGAGTTTCAAAGCCTCTTAAATTTGTTGAATAAACTCATCCTTTCCAAAATCCATGTGTGATTATTACATTCTTTATTATTTTACAGTAATTTTAAGATCTATAACTATTAATCTATTGTCGTTTTGAATCAATTTTTGTTTCTAGTAAATCAATTTTATGTTTTAGATCTGAAACTTAATAGCACTAAATGCTACATATAGAATGAGCATTTTAAAATTACTTCTCTCTGATCCAATATGATTTTCAATTTTCTGATTTATATTTTTGTTATTTTAATTAAGAAATAGAAAAATTTTTCAATTAGTACCCTATACTTTGGGCCTAGTGTCATTTTTTGTCCCCAAATTTTAAAATGCGACTATTTAGTAGTTGAATTTTTAAAACGTGTCAATCCAGTATCTGTCGTTAACCAGTCGTTAAGTGGCATTTGAAAAGAGACAAATGTCCTTTGAGTGTCATTTAATTATCTTTATTAATCATCTAAAGTCAAAACATTGACAAAAAATGAACAGTCCCAAATTCTTGCTTCTTCTATTTAAGAAAGTTGGGGTTACGTCTCGATGGGCATTTTGGTGACCCTAACTTTCTTGAATAGAAGCGACAGATTTGGGACTGTTCATATTTTGTCAATGTTTAAATGGTTGATAAAGAGAATTAAATGACACTCGAAGGGTATTTGCCTCCTTTTCAAATGCCACTTAACAGCTGATTAATGATAGGTATTGAATTAACACGTTTTGAAAGTTCGGGTACTAAATTTTTGCATTTTAAAATTTAGGGACTAAAGTGACACTAGACTCAAAGTACAGGGTACTAATCGGGAATTTTCCCTAAAAAATGTAAATATTTTCATTAAACTGTACACTAGTCTGAGTCGAATAATTCAGTTTCATGGCCATCCAGGTCAATAGTTTGCTAACCAATTAGAATGGGTAAAGAGGAAAACAAAATCAGATAGATGACCATTTCTAGGTCGAAAAGTTTGATCGCACATGTCGACAACGGCTTTTAAATCCATGCATATGTGTCAGAAGGTTCTCCAAATATTTAGGCTGTGTTTAGAAACGATGCAAATGGAGTATAAATCCTGGTTCATGGCAAATTTGCACTCTGGTTCATTTTTGCCTATGTTTGGCAACATTACATTATTGCCTGTACAAGTGTACAACACCGAGTTATAGAAAGTGCAAATTGTCTTGACGACGATAAGCAAATGAATCTAATAATGTAACAGGGAGGATGTCGTCAACCGAGGAAGAGAAAACACGTAAAATTTTGTAATAATAATAAATGTCGAAAACAGAATGAAAGGGGGAGAGATTAATTCTAGAACTTTAAGGAAACAATCAAATTACATGACTGAAAAGCAAACTCCTTAACAATTACACCAAATATTGTAGCGAAGACATTCTAAAGAGCTAAAGAAATCCCAGCCCCCACTCCTTCATGCACATTTTTCTCTTTTGTTTTGAACCTAGACCTCCAGCAGCTGGTTATTCGCTGAAGGTCTTATCCTCTCTTCAACAAATCAAGAAATTTCTTACAGATTCCTCTTATCTATAGAATTTTTCTGCAGCAGCAAACCACAATAGAACTGGAAATTTTCATGGACAGAAAAGGGTTTTCCTTTTCTTCATAAACTTTTCCAAACTAGTGGTTCCATCAAATATTAACTCGAAATCATATGTTTAATGGTTCTGCCTCTGAGTTCCTCTCTCTCATTGTCATTGGCGTCCAATCTTGTGGCTCTGCAAAAACAAGGAGATACGAAAAAGAAACAGATTAAGAACATAGCACATGAATCATCCATCTTTAATTAGATAAAAACCTAAAAAACTATGAGACTGAAAAAACATCTCCCAGACAAAACCCATTAAATTAAATAGAAGTCTATCCGCAGCTATGCCCCCATGTTTTCTTATTTGCATTTTTACGTATTGTTTGCATCCCTTCCCCTTTTAAGCAACTTAAAACCATTAGTTTAAATCATAAAGTGACAAAATTGCCCTTAATTCACCTGCATTTGGAATATATATTTCCTTCAGTTTTTACTTTAACTAAGAAATCTTTACATGCACATGTTTTTCCTATTTAAAACTCAATGCAAATAAATGGAAAAGTTGAGAAAATGAAAACGTATGAATGCAGTGTTTGTTGGATATAGGGGGATATGCAAAATTGGAAACAGGAGGAGTAAATGCATGATAAACGTGGGGGGCACAGTTGCAAAAACCTTGCCTAATAACAAGTCTTATGTTAAAGTGGTAAAGCAACTTCTATAGGTTTAACTTTCTCCTAGGTGACCAATTGTAGCCAGAGCCAAGCTGAGTTAAGTCATTAGAACTTTACATGAATATTCTGACACCAAGTACTAATTCTTTAGTTTAACTTACTTGACTTGTAGCTTTCTGCAACTACCATGAGCCGCCTCTGCAAGATTGCTGCCATGAAAAGGAAGATTGAACACATGCCAAACATAACGGTGATGGGGAAAGCATTAACCTTCATAACAAGCAAAGAAAGTGTTATTCAAAATGGAAATAGTAGTGATGATGTCAATTTTGACTAGCTTCCAACATTTAATGACCTACTTACATTGTAGAGCACAATACAGACAAAGATGTTGAGAGGAATGCGGAAGAAGTTCATGATAGTGCTTCTAGCTTCCTCAGGAATGTACTGGGACCTCATCTTCATGATTGATGGCCAGAATATCCCCACACAGGCCTCAAAAGTACAGAACCCAAAGAGCTGGATACTCCCTGCAAATGAGATGCTTCCACCTTTCTCCTTAGAAGGTTGTGCCAAGAACTGTTCAGGTTAGCAGTCAAAGTTAGAGAAAACCATCTTTACTTTGATAAAAATTGAATAACCAGATAAAGGCTTTTGGAAAAGGGAATCAACAAATAAGAACTACATACAATTGTGACAACTGGAAGCATTAAAGAGAAGGATGAAAGCACAAAAACAATCTGCATGTAGCTCTCGACTTTGAGGGATGCACGGGCCATGAGACGAGATGCAACGGAGCTACCCAACATTGAAGCCAACATGAATGTCGCAAATATGAAACCATGGGGTATTTCCTCATCATTTGGGCTCAATGCAGGTGTCCAGAGGAACACAAAAGTGTACATCGAACCTTCAAACAGGGACTGTATCGCACCCAGCAAAGCAATCTTCTCATCTGAACCCACATGAAAATATTATAGCAATCCCGACTAAAAAAACAAGAAAAAAAAGAAAAAATCCTAGGGACCTGACATATAGAGAAAAAAGAGCAGACACAAACTGAATATCATGTCCACCTGAAAGATCTCGCAAGAGAACTCATCAGACGGAGTCCAATCCCCTAGTGCCATGCATTAGAAATGTGGAGTGCATAGATGTCTTTATGACATGCCCAAATAGGTAGTTTTAGATAATATTTCATGTAAGAACAATAATGCTCAAGACACACAAACTAAACTTAAGTTAGAGATTCACCGGAAGCAATGGCTACAGCAGCACCCTTGAACTGGGTAAGTAGGTCCTTGCTCTCTGAAGGATCTCCATAGTTTTCACTCCACGATGATAGGATAATGACCACCCCAATTGCAAGAAAACATGCAGCAGCATCAAAAGGGGCAACTGGGCCAAAGCCAAGAGTGTCAGCCAGCACATTTGCAAACAACCCAGAAACAATGGCAATTAAGCCATTGCCAAGAAAGATAGCCTTGGAAAATGTCAAGGACAGCCATTGCTGATCAAAGCCCCTCTGTACATCACAAGGAAGAAAACAAAATGATAAGAAACCACAATGAGGGAGACAATTCACGAAGGGGAATCCCATGTACATGTCAGGTAGGCATTGAGGGAATTTTACATCAGGAATTCCCCTTACCTCCTCCAAAGTCTAAAGTCTATACAGAGATAATGCAGTACAAACAATAGCATCTAGCCAGAGGGAACCTTCCTTGCTTTGACAATTAAAGAACCTGATGAATGAATCATTGCTCTAATTTCACAAGTGGAAGGAAGAATTGCAAACTTACCTTGTTGTGTTCTGCAACAAGCCATGATTCAAAGGCTGAAAACAGGAGAGAAGTGGCAATTCCTCCCAATATGCGTCCCAACATTAGGACCTTGTACAGAGGAGAATGCTTGGTGAAGCAGCTCAGGATGTAGGTTATGCAGTAAGTAACACAAGCCCTCTTCCGACCCCTGAATTTTGTACACAAAATTATCAGAAACAAGGAAGATAATGCAATCACCAGAATGATCGTTGAATCAAATTTAGAAAGAAAACTTACTGTTTATCTGCCAAAGATCCGACAATTGTCCCAAATAACATTGAGGATCCAAAACCAGCTATAAAGAGCCTTCCAATATCCCCCTTATCAAAACCATACTGGCTATAGAGGAAGTATACATAGGGACCCTGCAGCCAATCCCCAGCTATTGGCGGATGAACAATAACAAGTTAGAATCTAAGAAAACAATCCAACCCAGATGGTTCGTCCTTCAAGATTTAGAGAATGCTTTAATAATGTTCTGGGCATATTAGATCTCCTAGTTGTTTTGATTTTACAAAGTAAGTTTGTTGAGGTTATTCATTGAAAAGGCAAAATAAGCTGATCTACAAAATCAGTTATGGTCAAGAGGAAGAAGAAGAAAGAATTAAACTTGTAAGATCTGGAAAATCAAGACGACTAGGTCCACATTATGATCAGACAATGTTATCATTAGATTAAAACCAGAGAGAAAAGCAATGAAAACATAAAACAAATGGCGAGTTAAACGAAAAGGCTCTCTGCAAAGCCAAAGAAGTCATTTCCGCACCCGGAACAGGGGAAAGCACAGCAAACAAGATCCCGCATCTGGAACACTGAAAAAGCGATCCTAAAACCCCAACTCCCAGTGAATCCGGCATGGAAACCAAAGAGAAATCGAAACCAGGTAATTGGGAGGAGATTCAAACCACAGATCCCAACAGGAGCCAGGCATTAGCCTCAACTATTAATTTGCGCAAAACAGGAATAGCGGGATCCAACCACGTCAGAAAACATAACAGAAATGGGAAATTTCGCTAATTTTACCAGGTATTTTCAAGATCCCAAATGGAAATAGGAAGTGGAAACGCCAGATCTAGCTTACCCATCATGAGAGAGTAGACGACAAGGTAGTTGTTCTTGAAGGAATTAAAAGCAGAAGATGTGTTGATGCGATCTTTGGTGGTCTTGCTGAACTCTAGGGCGGCGACCACCAGCGATAGACACCCAAAGATAAGGTAATAGAAGATTTCCATTTCTGCAGATCGATCTGCTTACACAGACACTCTTCAGTCGTCACACACTAGCAGAGTAGAGAGAGAGGGAGAGGAGAGAAAGATAGCTGAAAATTGAAAAGAAGGGCTGATGAATGGCCCCGCGGCAGCGAAAATGAGACTACAAGTCTATAACCAACGCGAACAAAAGCTGTTCCCCATTTGGTTTTCGCGTTTTGTATTCATACGCGGCAAGATCCGAGTTGTCCAATTTCGCACTCGGAGTTAATGATAACTGTTATGATATTGCCTTAATCATCAATCGTCATGTTAGATGATCAAAATCTAGCCGCTGAGGGCCGATATGGCGATCCCAAATGATTCCATCCACCACGCCTATATCCGTATGGTAGATCGAGGTCGGTGGCCAATAGCCATATCCCACGCGCCCATAGAGATCAAATCTCACGCTTTGGGTCAACAACTCACATGATATGATGGTAATTTGTTCGAAGTTCGTCTGAAGAATTTAAAACAAAAACCGTCGGTGGCCTTGTGATGACGCATTTTTTACTGGATCGAGTTCTAATTCAACGGCCCAAACTAAAGCCTTCACTTCTGTTCCCGAACCGAGGAGCCGATATAAAAAAGCCCACCGTTTAACGGTTTAAGTAATTTTTTTTTTTTTAATATACAAGGAATTTCTCTCAACTGATTTCATTTTCTATCAAAACAATCACGGTCTTATGACTTGGATCAGATTTCCGGTCCTTGATTCCCAGAATTAACATCATTTTTGGATTCCGCTAATATATGTAAAAGCTAAAACCTATGTTTTACCATGAAGAAAAAATCTATGTTTTACCGAATTACTTTCAATTAAGGGCATTTACCATTTGGTTTGGTTTGATTTGGACAAGATTTTTTTACCAAATCAGTAAATATTTTCAGATCAAATCAAAACTATTTTAACACATAAATCAAATTAGACCAAACCGATATATTATGATTTGGTCCGATTTCCAATAGGATTTCGGTCATTCTATTAGGTAATATTAACCCAATTAAAAAATCCCGAATAATATGTATACATTCATGAAAAGTGACGAAGGGTGATTTGGTCCAACCTAGTAAAGAGGGGACATGTGGACATGACCTGACCAAGAGATGATAACTCAGCTTAACGTAACCAGTCTGCAGCAGATCGAGCTCGGGTACCCAACCACCCCGAGCTAAAATGACCTCGGGACAAGCTCACCTCGAGACGAGATCGACTCGGTACCAGATCACAACAAGAACATCTCGATGCCAAGGCACTTCGGCATTCAACCCAGTTTGAGACTTAAAGACATCAGTTTGGGGATACCGACACGTTACTACGTGGTGATCCCGAAAACCCCTCTAACGGATCCCGGGCCTCACGAGATCACACCGTGTAACAACTAGCATTATCTCCCCGCCCGATTAGGGCGGAATTGATGAACCTTATCGGTTGGCAGCATTATCTTCCAATTTACATGGAAACGGATCCAATTGTGACGATGATCTCGGAACTGATCCATAAAACCCGCAAGGACTCCATTATATAAAGGCTCCACCCCCGGTGGTTCAAAGTACGCGTGATTTATATGCTCTCTAGCTCTCTGCATTCTTAAGCTATTTTTTAGCTCGCAACCAGTATACTGACTTAAGCATCAAAGCGACCTCACCGGGCTAGCAACCCCAAATTCTTTGATCCTCTTGTAGATCAACTGTTCGCCGTCCACCTGGAAGCCAGATCACCTCCAGTAGGGAGCAACTAGATCGCGCAGCATAATTTGAAGCCGTCTGTGGGAAACACAACAAAAATCCTTTCTCCACCATCAATAATAGAATCAAATCTATGGCTTCCTCTAGTAACGCCGGACAAAACAACGAGATGAACGTCTCCGGGGGGCAGCCTCAGTTCCCTTCTGTCTGCATCGGTTAGTTCACCATCCCGCTTACCGCGGCTGGGGGACCAACGCTGACCGTGACCCAAGCAACCACGTAAGTGAACGTGCCACTCCCTCCTGTAGTCGGTGCGACTTTCGCTGAACCATCTGTAGTTCCCCCTGGAGCCGGACAGTCCCAACTTGACGACCTGGTACACTGTATTCAGGCCATTCAGGTCCAAATGCAGTAGGTCCAACAGTATTAGTTATACCAACAGCAAGTACTTCATCAGTTCTATTAGCAACAGTACCAGCAACAGTTCCCTCCGTTGCAGCAGAATCAGCAGTCGGTTCCACCTCGGCACCCGACAATGCAACAGAATCAGTCCCGCCGTCAGAACACTCGCCCTCCTAGACGGGGAGAGACTTCCCAGGTTCCACATTCTCTTGGGAGCCAGATCTCGTCCCGCAGCAGGAGGGACAGACAAGTCACTCCTCCCGCTTCGCAGAACGTGAACAAATCGGGAGATACTCAGCTCACCATAGCCATTTCACCCTGACCCTCGCATCATGAAGGTTCGCTTGCAGGGAACCGGTTCGGGCTTCTGGCCGCGGACTCTAGGCGAGGCCCTTCCATTCACGGCAGCCAGCATCAGCAGTCCGAGACACTCCGTGCCAGGACGATACCCGACCACACAGAGGTCAGCAGCACCAATGCGGAGCCGGTCAAGAAGCAACAAAGAAGGCGTCGTAAGGCACGCCGAACAACAGTTCCAAGCCAGCTCGCCGGTCCTCGCCAACCTGAGTAGCTAAAAGGTAAAGAGGAGGCGAGTTTAGAAGCCACAAAGACCACTCCCCTCCTCTTTGGGTCATCCCCTTTGTCCTCCGAGCTCCTGGCAAACCCAATGCCGAAGGGGTAGCTCCTGGACAAGTATGATGAATTGTTCGATCCAAATGATCACGTGGACTCATTCCAGTCCCAGATGCATCTAGTTGGGGCTGATGAGTCCTGCATGTGTGTAGCCTTCTCCACGACATTCAAAGGGGTAGCTCGCACATGGTACAGAAATCTCGCTCCAACGGCGATCAAAAGTTGGGCGCAGTTCGTGCAGATGTTCATCTCGCATTTCATCACCAGCAAGAAGTGTCTGAGGTCTCAAGAAAAACTCCTCAGCATAGTCCAAAGAGAAGGGGAGTCAATCCGAAACTACATAAAACACTTCAACGACACCATCGAAAGCGTTGCGACAGGGGGTCTCAAGAAAGCCTCCCCAGCAAGAAGTGTCACTTGGGGGGTAGAGCTCTCGCCTAGAAAGCATTGTGACAGGGGTATTATTGGCCCATAAGGAAGACAGACACACTCGAGCTCGTCAAGAACTGCGATCAGTGTCAAAGGCATGCCAACATCCACCACCAACCTACTGCCGACCTCAAATATCTCACCATCCTGTGGCCCTCCGCATAGTGGGGAATCGACATTCTTGGCCCTTTCCCGCCAGCGACAGGACAGAGGAGATTCCTGGTGGTAGCAGTGGACTACTTCACGAAGTGGGTGGAGGCGGAACCCCTAACAACAATCACAACCCGCAACATACAAAATTTCTTTTGGAGGAATATAGTGTGTCACTTCCGGCTACCTCGGGTACTTATCTCCGACAACGGAAAGCAGTTCGAGGACATCAAGTTCCAGAATTGGTGTTCCGAGATGGGGATACAACAGAACTTCACCTCGGTGGCACATCCTCAGGCAAACGGGCAAGCAGAGGTCACAAACAGAGCCATACTACGTGGATTGAAAGCTCGCTTAGCCCGAGCTAAAGTACTATGGGTAGACGAGCTGCCTAGTGTGTTATGGGCCTACCGAACTACCGTTAAGACCGCCACGGGTGAGACCCCTTTCAACCTCACCTACGACACAGAAGCGGTGATCCCAGTAGAGATCGAGGTGCCTATGCTATGCTTGGAAGCCTACAATGAGGAAGGAAACGACGACGAGCTCCGTACCAACCTCAACCTGGTGGAAGAAGTACGGGACCTAGCATACATTCGGACTACAGCCTACCAGCAAAGGGTGGCTCGGTACTATAACGCTCGGGTCAAGAAACGACACTTCCGTGTCGGCCACCTGGTTCTTAGGAAAGTTATGGTACCTGAGCCCGGTATCGGTAAGCTCAGACCGAACTGGGAAGGTCCATACCGAGTAAGACGGGCACTCGGGGAAGGTACGTACGAGCTCGAGACTTTGGAAGGAAAACAAGTACCTCGAGCATGGAACATCGGCAACCTGAGACGATACTATCTATGATCGCCGAACTGGAGAGAGGACAGCGAGTCACTCCCAGAAGTCCAAGGACTAAAGTGCCGAGCTGAAAAAAGACCTCGGCACCACATAAGACCCAGTCGCCTCTTCGGCATGGGCAAAACCAAGGGTAAGGAGAGTGGACTGTGAGTCGCTCCCAAAGCCTAAGGGCTAAGGTACCGAGCTGACAAAATACCTCCACACCACATAAGTCCTAGTCGCCTCCTCGGCATGGGCATACAAGTCCCAGTCGCCTCTTCGACATGGGCAGACAAGACCTAATCGCGTCTTTGGCATAGGCAACTCATCTCATGTCTAAGGTATAGACAGCTCGAGTATAAACCTTACGATGTCTAGCCCACCTCGGCATATAATGAAAATGTTGAACCCCAACAAATGGACAACTAACATTACCAAGTATCCCGCGCGTAGACAGGTCGGGTATGTGCCCTACAATGTCCACGCACCTCGGCGTACATCATGCGAAGTTACCCCTACTGGTAGTCCAGCTCGGTAGCCCGATGGTTCAGGGTAACCTACTATACCTATTTGGTTAGTCCACCACTTAGGGAATTATTTGCACATTTATTTGACAAAAAGTGTATTTCATTAATATGAGGAGTTTGTTACAAAAAAAAAAAAGTAAAGATTACTATAGATCGAGCTCACAGGCCTGGGGTATACAATATGGAGTCTATTCATTTGGGCACTCTTCTCCCTTGCTCGAGGCTTCGGCAGGAAGGTTCACCCTCTCATTGGCACCGGTCTCTTCGATGTCGATGAGCATCTCGCTGTCACTTTCCACCTCAGAGTCTAGATCTTCAGTAGCTTCGACATCCATCTCATTTGTAACCTTGAGGTGGTGATGGCGTTTAGATCGAGCTGCGGAAATTCACGTCGGGTCAGCCACCTGCTAAGCTTAAAGCCCTTACGGTAGCCTTCCGTCCCCGCCTAAATCAGCTCTCCATGGAACTCCTCCGAGGTCTTGTATTCCT